AGTCTGTGACAGTATAAGCCCGAGCCAGTGGCCCATATCAGCTGAGGATTTAGCCTGACAGGAAAAAGGAAGATATTTAATCAATACCCCTTTGAGATATTCATACACCTTAACTTAACTATATGGCATTAGTTTGTTATTGGCTTCATTCTGGCCTGAAGATGGCAGTCATGTTGAGGTTTCTACTGATTCCGTACTATTCCATGTAAGCAATTTTGAGAAGTGCCTATTTTGTCCCCTCTGTTTTTGTTTACTGAGAAGTGACTTACTGAAAACGGATGATAAACTACTCCAGAATTCAGGCAGGGAAAGTTTCACCCCTGATTTGCAGCAAAACAAAGCATATGTTAAGGCTTCAGTGTGCATCTACAGAGAGATCGAGACGCACACTTTTCCTCACAAACAAACAAATAATGACTTAAAAGAATACTTCACGCAAAATTGAACATTATTTACTCACTTTCAAGTTGTTTCAAACAATATAACTATGATTTTTGGTTACACTTGTTCATAAGACTGTCGCGAATCCATTATAATCATGACATGACACATGTGAATGAGATTTTATTGAGTGTTATTAAGTGGCATAAACAAACACATCACAACCTGTTTTTGTCTTTGTCTTGACAGAAAGTTTGTCTTGTCATAAATCTGTCATAAACATGATTGTCATGAGGCATTATAAATGTGTCGTGAATATTTTTTCCGATCAGGTTTTCAGTGTATTTGTCATTAAAATGTCTCTTTCAAAGTTTATTACTTAATTTTTAAATACTTAATACATAAATATTACAAAAAAATTTTAAAAACAGCGTCACTAATATTTAATGACATTTTAATAACAAATTCAGCTTGTACCACTGAAGTTGAGGCCAAAACAATAATAACGCACTGTTATGGAATTGATGAGACATTTATAATAGCTTCATGACAATCATGTTTATGACAGATTTATGACAAGTTTTGTAATGTCAAACTGTCAAGACAAAGATAAAGACAGGTTGTGATGTCTTTATGTCAAGTTGTCATAACAAACAATGCCATTTTTGCATTTAAAATGCCATAATGAGCCACTTAATAACAGTTGTTATGAGCAAGCATAAAATCTCATTCACATTTATGACATGTCATGCTTATAAAAGCTTAACGGCAGTCTTATGAACATCCCTTCAAGTGTTACCTTTTTTCTTCCATGAAATGCAATAGCTGCGAGCCTTCATGCTACATCTTTGCAAAGTAAATAAAATCCATCATAAAAGTTCATCTCTTGCACTATTTTTCGATTGTGTGACCAAAAAGTAGGTTTTAGACTGCAAGATAGAAGCAAACGCAAATAAAAATAAAGGTTTTCGGCCAACGATGGCTTGCATTTTTCTGTATAATTCACAACTAACTAATACATTTTCCTACATTTCCAAAACCTCTCCTCTTTGTGCTTCACGGTACAAATAACGGCATGTAGGTTTGAAAGAGGAGACAAATAACTTCATTTCAATTTCTAAGGGGGAACTGTGCTTCTTTCAGTAAGTTGATCTGGGCTCTGTACAAAACAAACCATACAAATTAGTCATTGATTAAATTACCCAGTTAAATTACTCCCTGTACAAACTCAAGCAAATACAAATCTCTAGTACTATTCACATCATGTGCTGAACTCACAGAAATAATATTGGAAAATAACACTTTATATACAGTTAATGGAAACGTAGAGGACGCTTTGGTCAACATCTAGTAACACTTGAATACGAGAAGAGGTGTTCATAAGACTGTTATTAAACATTTATAATCATGAAGAGATGTTATGAATGTGAATGAAAATTTTAGGCATGCTTATAACAACTGTCATTGGCTTGGTTATGACATTTTAAATGCATAATGACATAGTCTGTTAGGACAACTTAAACAATACATGGTTTATGACCAGCAGATTGTACTAATTTTTAACACCCTATGGTGATCTAGGCTAGTTTTGGAAAGTAGATGGTGCTCTTGGCTAGTTTTGAGCCGTAGATGGCACTCTTGGCTAGGTTTGAAAAGCTGATGGCGCTCTAGGCTAGGTTTGAAAAGCTGATGGCGCTCTAGGCTAGGTTTGTGCAGCAGAGGGCACTCTTGGCTAGGTTTGAAAAGCTGATGGAGCTCTAGGCTTGGTTTAAACAGCAGATGGTGCTAGTTTTGAACAGCAGTTGGCGCTCTAGGCTAGGTTTGAACAGCAGATGGTGCTAGATTTGAACAGCAGTTGGCGCTCTAGGCTAGGTTGGAACAGAAGACAGGACTCTATGCTTGCTTTTAATAGCAGATGGTGGTCTAAGCTAGTTTTTTACAAGCAGATGGTGCTCTAGCCTAGCTTTGAACAGCAGATGGAGCTCTAGGCTAGGTTTAAACAGCAGATGGGGCTAGTTTTGAACAGCAGTTGGCGCTCTAGGCTAGGTTTGAACAGCAGATGGTGCTAGATTTGAACAGCAGTTGGCGCTCTAGGCTAGGTTGGAACAGAAGACAGGACTCTATGCTTGCTTTTAATAGCAGATGGTGGTCTAAGCTAGTTTTTTACAAGCAGATGGTGCTCTAGCCTAGCTTTGAACAGCAGATGGAGCTCTAGGCTAGGTTTAAACAACAGATGGTGCTAGTTTTGAACAGCAGTTGGCGCTCTAGGCTAGGTTTGAACAACAGATGGTGCTAGATTTGAACAGCAGATGGGCGCTCTAGGCTAGGTTTGAACAGAAGACAGGACTCTGCTTGCTTTTAATAGCAGATGGTGATCTAAGCTAGTTTTTTACAAGCAGATGGCGCTCTAGCCTAGCTTTGAACAGCAGATGGAGCTCTAGGCTAGGTTTGATCTGCAGATGGTGCACTAGGTTAGGGTTGAACAGCAGATGGCGCTCTAGGCTTTTTTTAATAGCAGATGGCGGTCTAGGCTAGTTTTTTAAAAGCAGATGGTGCTCTATGCTAGTTTTTTTAAAAGCAGATGGTGCTCTAGGCTAGTTTTGAACAGCAGATGGTGCTATAGGCTAGTTTTGAACAGCAGATGGTGCTTTAGGCTAGTTTTGAACAGCAGATGGCGCTATACACTAGTTTTGAACAGCAGACAGTGCTCTAGGCTTTCTTTTAACAGCAGATGGCAGTCTAAGCTAGATTTTATAAGCAGATGGGGCTCTAGGCTAATTTTGAACAGCAGATGGTGCTCTAGGCTTAGTTTAAACAGCAGACAAACACTCTAGGCTTGTTTTTAATAGCATTCAGTGCTCTGGGCTTTATTTTACTAGCAAATGGCAAGCAGATGGCGCTCTAGGCTAGTTTTTAACAGCAGATCACTCTTTAGGCAAGTTTTTTAACAGCACATGGCGCTTTTAATAGCAGACTATGCACTAGGATTGATTTTAATAGCAGATGACAATTTAGGCTAGTTTTTAGGCTAGTTTTGCTAACAACGTGACATAAACAAATATATCACGTTTTTGAATATCAAAGCAACTTGACATTACCAACACAACAAAACTTGTCATAAATCTTTCATAAACATGATTGTCATGAGGCATCATAACTGAGTCGTGACTTTTATGACAGCATAATTAATGTTTTTTTTTTTTACCTCAACTAGAGTGGTACGAAATGAAATTGTAATTAAATTGTCATTAAACATTAATGACGCTGAGTACAGAAACATATTGAGACATTTTAATGACAAATACAGTTAGTTTCAATGAAAACGAGATCAGAAAAATATTAATGACAATTATAATGCCTCGTGACAATCATGTTTTTTGACAGATTTATGAAAAGTTATGTTGTCTTGGTAATGACAAGCTGTCATGATAAAGATGAAGACTGGTGGTGATGTATTTGTTTATGTCAAGTTGTCAATGAAAACAGTGTCATCTTTGCATTTAATATGACACAACTGTATCATTGACACTTAATAACAGTTGTCATTAGCGTGCATAAAATCTTATTCACATTGATTATAAAAGTTTCATGACAGTCTTATGAACATCCTTTCAAGTAAAGTATTACCAAGTTCCTTAGTGTTTTTTCAAGACGCACGCGCGCACACACATACACAAACAAAACCCCATTTCAATCCATTTAAATAACACATTATCGCCGCACACGAATAGTCACTCACAATTTTGACAAGTATGTCATTAGAAACATAAATACTTGTCTCTTTACAGATCAATCAGGACGTTACAGTCTTCAGGACGTTTCAGGAAAACAAGAGTTAACGCCTCGCACAGAGTTCAGGTAGAATGGCATCTAAACCAGCTAAAATATGTCTGCACCTTCAGCAGGATTCCTTCAATCAACTCAAAAATCCACCAACCAACGGCAGCAAAGGAAGAAAACGGTCCGAGTCTGTGGCTCTATAAGGGTCCGATCGAGCATTTCTCGAGCAATCTCGGGCATTCCTCAAACTCACTCCATTTTAGACATCTCGTATTTGGTGGTCATGATCTCCTGTAAGAGAAACAGACAGCTTAAGATAGGTGAATATGTAAAAGATACACAAAAATACACACATTTATAACACTGCTACAGAGTCTGATTCACAAATCTTGTTCAGATTTAGGGCTGTCATGACAAAAATAGATGTGAATAGATTTAGAGATCATTTCAGAGTTTATTCTGAGATTGGGTTTTTACCAGCAGATGGCATTTTAGACTAGCTTTGAACAGCAGAAGCTGCTTTTAGGCTCATTTAATAGCAGACAGCATTCTTGGCTAGTTCTTAAAATCAGATGATGCTCTAGGCTAGTTTTTAACAGCAGATGATGCTCTAGGCTAGTTTTTAACAGTAGATGTTGCTATAAGCTAGTTTTTAACATCAGATGTTGCTCTAGGCTAGTTTTTAACAGCAGACAGCGTTGTATGCTAGTTTTTAACAGCAGGTGGCGCTCTAGGATAGTTTTTAAGAGCAGATGTTGCTCTAGGCTAGTTTTAACCAGCAGATAGCACTCTAGGCTAGTTTTTAACAAAAGATGGCACTCTAGTCAAGTTTTTGATAGCAGATGCCGCTCTAGGCTAGTTTTAACAGCAGAAGCCACTCTAGGCTAGTTTGTGACAGCAGATGTTGCTCAAGGCTAGTTTTTAACAGCAAATGTTGCTCAATGCTAGTTTTTGACAGCAGATGTTGTTTAAGGCTAGTTTTTGACAGCAGATGTTGCTCTAGGCTAGTTTTGAACAGCAGATGCCACTCTAGGCTAGTTTTTGACAGCAGATGTTGCTCAAGGCAAGTTTTTAACAGCAGATTTTGCTCTAGGCTAGTTTTTGACAGCAGATGTTGCTCTAGGCTAGTTTTTAACAGCAGATTTTGCTCTAGGCTAGTTTTTGACAGCAGATGTTGCTCTAGGCTAGTTTTTAACAGCAGATGTTGCTCAAGGCTAGTTTTGAACAGCAGATGCCGCTCTAGGCTTGTTTTTGACAGCAGATGTTGCTCTAGGCTAGCTTTTAACAGCATACAGTGTTCTATGCTAGTTTTTAACAGCAGATGTTGCTCTAGGCTAGTTTCTCACAGCAGATGTTGCTCTAGGCTAGTTTCTAACAGCAAGCGGTGCTCTAGGCTAGTTTCAACAGCAGACGACGCTCTAGGCTAGATTGTAAGTACTCTAGGCTAATTTTAACAGTAGATGTTGCTCTAGGCTAGTTTTAACAGCAGACAGCGATCTAGGCTAGTTTCAACAGCAGAGGGTGCTCTAGGCTAGTTTGCAAGAACTCTAGGCTTGTTGTAACAGCAAACGGCATTCTAAGCTAGGTTTAACAACAGATGTTGCTCTAGGCTAGCTTTTAACAGCAGACAGCATTCTAGGCTAGTTCTTAACAGCAGATGTTGCTCTAGGCTAGTTTTTAACAGTGGATGTTGCTTTAAGCTAGTTTTTAACATCAGATGTTGCTCTAGGCTAGTTTTTAACAGCAGATATTGCTCTAGGCTACTTTTTAATAGCAGATGGTGCTCTAGACTACTTTTTAACAGCAGATAGCACTCTAGGCTAGTTTTTAACAAAAGATGGCGCTCTAGGCAAGTTTTTGATAGCAGATGCGGCTCTAGGCTAGTTTTAACAGCAGATGCTGCTCTAGGCTAGTTTTTGACATCAGATGTTGCTCTAGCCTAGTTTTTGACAGCAGATGTTGCTCTAGGCTAGTTTTTAACAGCAGATTTTGCTCATGGCTAGTTTTTAACAGCAGATTTTTCTCTAGGCTAGTTTCTGACAGCAGATGTTACTCTAGGCTAGTATTTGATAGCAGATGTTGCTCTAGGCTATTTTTTGACAGCAGATTTTGCTCTAGGCTATTTTTTGACAGCAGATGTTGCTCTAGGCTAGTTCTTAACAGCAGACAGTGCTCTAGGCTAGTTTTTAACAGCAGATTTTGCTCTAGGCTAGTTTTTAACAGCAGATATTGCTCTAGGCTAGTTTTGAACAGCAGATGCCGCTCTAGGCTAGTTTTTGACAGCAGATGTTGCTCTGGGCTAGTTTTTAACAGCAGACAGCGTTCTATGCTAGTTTTTAACAGCAGATGTTGCTGTAGGCTAGTTTCTAACAGCAGATGGTGTTCAATTAGTTTTAACAGCAGATGGCACTAGTTTAGATAGCTAGTTTAGCACAGCAGGCATCACTCTAGGCTAGTTATGAACAGCAGACAATGCTCTAGATTAGCTTTAACAGCAGATGGAAATGTAAGCTTGTTTTGTACAGCACATGGCACTCTAAGTTTGCCTTTAATAGCAGATGGAACTATGCTATTTTTTTTATTTGCAGACACCACATTAGGCTACACTTTAACAGCAGACGACTCTTTAGGCAAGTTTTCTAACAGCACAAAGCACTCTATGCTAATTATGCTAACAGCAGACTATGCTCTAGAACTTTTGTAAACAGCAGATGGTGCTTTTGGCTGTTTATGTTTTTACAACAGATCAAGTACATGGCTCTATTTCTATTACACTTTTTTTCCAAATACCATGCCATTTAGTTATGCCTTATATGTACTTTAAATAAAAATATGTAGATTCTTATTTCACCCTATATAAAGTAAAAATCTATGCAATTAACAAACCTCATCTGAGTCGAGAAGAACAGGCAGAGCTCTGAAAAAATGAGAGATGTGAATTGATATACATTACAAGTAGAAACCTTTTTTTTTTAAATACAAACAGCAGAGGGTAGTTTGTATGCTTGTGTCAAACAGACTTACACATCAGTCAGAGAGGTAGGAATATTCTCCTCCACCCACTTCAAATCCTCATCCTGAAACAATCAAATATGTTATTGACTCATTTTATATAATTTATTATGCGTAATAAATAAAATATTTACAGAACATTGATATTATTAACATTTGATTAGCCTTTTATATAAAGGTCTCTACTAGGGTTGTCGCGATACCATTAATTAATCTTACGATACTATACCAGCTGAAGTATCATGATAACAAGTAGTATTGCCATACTGTAATTCATTAGCCCTGATAAATAAGAGACTGAGCCGAAGGAAAATAAATAAATGTATGCACATATGTATTTTTGCCCTTACGTCAAAAAAAACAAAACAAAAAAAACTATTGAATACTTTTTTAGAACAATGTACTTTACTCTGACTTTTGATCAGTTTATGCATACTTGCACAAAAATCAAAATACTTAATCAAAACAGACACCAAGGTTTTCAGCTTTTGTTTGTAAATGTATATTTAAAAAATAATAATAATTAAATAATAATATTATTAATAATAACAACAACAACAACAACAATAAATTAAATAATATTATTTTTATTATTAATAATAATAATAATAATAATAATAATAATAATAATAAAAGTAATAATTAAATAATATTAATAACAACAATAATAATAATAAAAACTATTTAGAACCAGTTGATTCACATACTATCACTGACCGGATTAGTTGGTGGAGGCTTCACTGTTCCATTGGTTTCTGTTTTAGCTGCTCTCAACTTTATCCCATCAGCTGAAAATGAAAAAAAAAAAACATTTTAAATAACTATATATATACACACACACAGTTGAGGTCAGAATTATTAGCCCCTTGAATATGTTTTAAAGAAACAGAATTAACACATTTCTAATCATAATAGTTTTAATAACTCATTTCTAATAATTCTTTGTCATGATGATGGTAAATAATATTTGACTAGATATTTTTCAAGACACTTCTATACAGCTCAAAGTGACATTTAAAGGCTTAACTAGGTTAATCAGGCAAGTTAGGGTAATCATCATTATATAACAATGGTTTGTTCTGTAGACTATCCAAAACAAATACTGCTTAAAGGAGACAATATTTTTTACCTTAAAATGTTTTTAAAAAATTAAAAACTGGGGTCCGTTCTTCGTACCTCGCTTAAATGATCTAAGATTATTTGGCAGATCCTGGATCTTTTAATCTTGATAACTGATTTCTGGCTAATTTGGTTCTTCAAACAAGTTCGCGAATCAGATTAGAATGTCTGGATGAACTGATCTGAGATCGCTGTTTTTGTTGTGAAGGATAGATCTATCGATCCTCGAAATCATGATCAGCAATGCAACGATTGGCTGACAGCACAGCTGCGTAATGACATCATCTGATTAATATTCAATTATCCATGTGAGCAAAATTACGTCAAATTAGCAGTAAACGGCTTGTTAAATATGACACGCAATAACATTCCACATTTGTTGTGAGCTGCAGGCTTTACACTTTCATGTGTCAAGAGTATTCATCATGTATTTCAATGCATATCAGTGTATTTAGTTCTACGTTTAGAGAAGATTTTCTTTATTATTGTAGCCGTTTTTTTAATCAGTGTAAAGATAAATTGGATGTTTACAAAAGCATTTTGATATTGGTAAAGGCGTCTGCAACTTTTGTAAAGCATCAAATCACTGTCATATTACCTATCAAAACATGTTTATGACTGCATAAATGTATTATTGCTTTAAAAAAGTCACATATTGTACATGTTTATTATACACAATTTGTACTAAAGCGATCTAAAAAGTTCATATCAATAAGTTTTCTCTGTTCACCACCAGGTGGCAGCCTTTGTACTTTCATTTCGAGGGTGCAGATTGCATAAGTTTTATTAATATATATATAACTTTATTTATTTTATCAATAACTATAACTTTATATATATAGTTTAAAAATATTTACTCTTTTCCCAAGTGTATAGAACTACTACTGTAGGAAAATATCAGAATTCGGTACATACTTTCTGTATTATATTTGCTTGAACTGACCCAATCTAATCCTGTTTATATGAATTAAACCTGCTCCCGACCAGGTTTAAGCTAGGAGAACTGTTGCTATGACCACAACTCTCGGATCAGCTTTGAAGAACGAAACGATCCTGGATCGTGTCAAATCGTCAATATCCAAATCCAGCTAACTGAGTAATCCACGTACGAAGAACAGGCCCCTGCTTTTATTCTAGCTGAAATAAATTAAATAAGACTTTCTCCAAAAGAAAAACTATTATAGTAAATACTGTGAAGAATTCCTTGCTTTGTTAAACATCATTTGGGAAATATTTGAAAAGGAAAAGGGCTAATAATTCTGACTTCTGTATATTTGATACAAGACTGACCAATATTTGCAGACACCAGGAATTCATCGATCTCCTCATCATCGGAGTCATCAATGAGCGGTGTGAAGGCATACCTACACAAACACACCAAGTTAAGATGATGCTCTACAATGCGAACAGTGAAGACTAGTATAGGGATGATCTTCTCATCAATCATCAATCCACTTGCCTTTGGTTATTAGCAGACGGCCTCCACAGAAACATGATGACCAGCAGAATAATAGAGAAGAGGAACCTCCAGAAAGCATCGTCCACCCACAGCTCCATCCAGTCCTGCTCACAAACACGCATGAATTAAAAGGGTAATTCACACTGTTTATTTACTCACTCACAGGCCAATCAGGATGTAGGGGACCTTTCTTCGGTAGAACATTAAAGAAGATTTTGAGCTGAATCAGTGGTTCTTGGCGATTCACAATGTCAGTGAATGATGACAGGTTTTTTTTTAGATTCCCTGCTGAAAAATCCAGCCTAAACCAGCCTAGGCTGGTTGGCTGGTTTTAGCTGGTTGACCAGGCTGGTTTTAGAGGGGTTTTGGCCATTTCCAGGCTGGTTTCGCGCCATTTCCAGC